AGAGTGGGCTTTTCAAAACAATATTCTCAACAAAGGATTAGCTGTGCAGTCATACTCTAGCTGTGCAGTCATACTCTAGCTGTGCAGTCATATTCTAGCTGTGCAGTCATATTCTAGCTGTGCGATTATACTCTAGCTGTGCAGTCATATTCTAGATGTGCAGTCATATTCTAGCTGTGCAGTCATATTCTAGCTGTGCAGTCATATTCTAGCTGTGCAGTCATATTCTAGCTGTGCGATTATATTCTAGCTGTGCAGTCGTATTCTTTAAACATACAGAAATAGATGTATAATTTTAAGAAACTATAGTTCATTGAGTGGTTAAAGATTGGGGCGGGGGGCGGTTTGAACTCTGGTTAGAACTATCACATAGCTCCCGGGCGTGCATAAAGGGTCCTTTGGCGTATCTAGGGGCTACCAGGCCTGGGGGGAGGGGAGTATTTTAGTAATTTTATTACAAACTTTATAAAGTAGATTTGGTGGAGAAGGGAGAATCGCAAGTTTGTGATTAAGGCCCCCCCCCCCCAACAACCCGATACAGCATTTACGTCCCTGAATGGGCTGGTACATTTTAGGAATGTAGCAATGTCTCACGTCCCTGAATGGGCTGGTACATTTCAGGAATGTAGCAATGTCTCACAGGCACAACTTGTTACTCGCGGAACAATGTCAGCCCATAGTGGTTCTAACTTTTTAAATTAAAATACCCGGTATATACATTTTGTACATTAATTATAAGCTTCTCAAATGTCATATAGAATTTAATTTTCTGTCTAGATTTTTTAATGACATCACATAATGACATGTTGGTGTAACAGTTAGTCTGAAACGGTTTCAAGACACTGAACGACGAAAAACTATAAAATCCTCTTATCGGTGCTCAACAATGTGTTACATGGTGATTTTTTTTTATTTAGTTGTATGACTTAAATAAAAATATGTTCATTGAAATATCTCAAAAAAAGATTTCAAAGTTCATTCGTGTTTATTTCTTTTAAAATATGTGTCTACTATAGGCGCTTGTACAGGAAAAAATATGTCTGCTTATGCTGCATGCCATTCGACTTGGTGTAATGGATCTTGATCAAACTTGGGATACATCAGTTATAACACTTGATTATCCAGAAGGAAATGCTGACGGAGTTTGAATTTCGTTTTTTTTTCCTTCTTGCATGATATTTATAGCTAAAATTAAAATTAATAGACACATTTAAACCAAACTTGATTTTAAAAATGCGCTTGACATTCTATAGGTCTACTGAAAAACTGGGTTTTGAACTCGCAGCTTACACCTCCTACCGTGACTTACAGGACCAGGGATACTAATTTAATTTTTCAACCAATTTTTGAACGGGACAGCTTTTAAATTGACTAATTATCTGATTATTTATTTAGGGTCCCCATCTAATGATCTTCTTAATCAGATAGATTATACAACGTATCAAAAAGTTTTAGAGCCCCTGGACTATAGAATTTGTCAAATTTCGCTTTGGAAATTATGATTGAATGGACAAGAAAGAATATTACTAAATACAATGGTTCATTCTACCCTTGCCCCTGCCCCCCCCCCCCCCGGGCAGCAGTGCTACCTCAGTGTGTCCATCATGGCAGCCTGTGGCTGAAGTGGAATGGGTTCTTTGTGTTGGCAGGGACCTTGGAAGCTTGCAGGGGTTAACAGTAAACACCCGTCTCAAAGCATACTGTGATGAATGAATTTAGGTACAAATGCTAGGAGCTAGGGTACGTGAATACAGCAGACGCTTGAGGATCCTATAGATAACAAAGGGGTTTATTGATGGGGGTCTCCTGAGCAACTGTTTCGTCCACGTGCGTCTCTATCAACTTCTTGTGATGTGGTGTTTTATTTAGGGACCAGGGGTTCCCAGTAACACTTTAGAAATAAGCACTAATAGTATCCATGTGGTCGACAGCTCTGAGGAAACCTTCGCAGACGGGGGCCATGGATGATACTCCTGTCTGCGATGGCCAAAACATGGGATCACGTTTCCCCCACTGGTGACAGGGGGGGGGGGTCATAGTGAGGTAGAAAATCCACTTTCTAGGGTCTAAATTTAAGGAAACTACCCCTTTCGCGTTCCTGTTGTAGCCAGATGCTTCGCCACTAGGGGTGGGACATCACAGGGAGCAACTCCGCGAAATCTCCCCAATGTAAAAGGAGGGGAGATTTTACGAATTAGGGCTCTCAGGGCAACAAAGGGGTTTCGGCTCGGGTCAAATATATAGAAAATCCTTAATTGTGTCAAAGGCATTTATTCAAATATAAAAGATGTTGGTTACCGTTGTATTACCAGCTGTCAGACTGAGTGAATCATTCTATTCTCACTCTGTTAGATCTCTCTGCTGCATTTGATACCATTGACCACCAGATTCTTCTTGACCGCCTTCATCTTTCTTTCGGACTTACTGGCTCAGCTTTAAACTGGTTTCAATCATATCTTTCTGACAGAACTCAAAAAGTCTCTATTTCCAACCGCTCTTCCAAACCTTCAGCCCTGTCTATTGGAGTTCCTCAAGGATCGGTCCTTGGGCCGGTCCTTTTCATCCTCTACACTAAACCTCTATCATCTCTCATTAGCCACCACTCAGTTTCCAGTCAATCCTTTGCTGATGACACTCAAATCAGTGACTCTTGCTTTCCTGATCAACATGATGCCACAATCCTTCGCATACAGGATTGCGTGGACGACGTAAAGCGTTGGATGATTTGCAACAATCTGAAGCTAAATGATGATAAAACGGAAATCCTTCTCATCCACTCTCAAAACAAACCTCTCCCTCCATCCGCTCCTTCTTCTATATCTATTGGCAACTCTGACATCACACTCTCTTCCTCTGCAAGAAACCTTGGAGTCACGCTTACAGACACCCTCTCCATGGACAAACATGTCACGAATATATGCAGATCAGCATATAACGAAATTAGAAAAATCAGCACCATTAGACACCTCCTCTCTTTTGATGCCACAAAAACTCTCGTCTCTTCACTCATTCTTTCAAAATTTGACTGCTGTAACACTCTTCTCGCAGGCATTCCTCAACACCACATAGACAAACTTCAGAAGGCACAGAACTCAGCATGCAGACTCATTTTTAAATCAAAGAAACATGACCACATTCAACCACACATGCGGCAACTCCACTGGCTTCCAATATCCTCTCGCATCAAGTACAAGTCTGCCAATCTATGCTTCAACTCGTTCACTGACCCTCACTTTCCTGTCTATCTCTCTGAACTGTTGGTTCCTTACATCCCCGCAAGACAACTACGCTCTTCCATTGACAATTGAACCCTCTCAATCCCAAGAACCAAAACTAAGACCATCGGTGAACGCTACTTCTAATTCCATGGGCCCACGTTCTGGAACCAGCTCCCCTCCATATCCGTCATTGTGAAACTTCGTCCACTTTCAAAAAGTCCCTTAAAACTTATCTGTTTAGGTCCACCTATGACCTGTGATGCACCCTCCTTGCCCTGCCTCATTTTCTGTCTCGGGTTGATCCTGTAGTATAGGCCTAAACGTGCCAAAGTGTCCTCGTTTTATAGCCATTTTAATTGTTTCTATAGTATAGTAGTTACTATCCTAGTGTCTCATTTTTATTTTACTTAGTTTACATGTTTTTAATAATTGTAAAGCGCTTAGAGCTTTAAGGTAAGCGCTATATAAAAATGCCTAAATAAATAAAATAAATAAATAAATCATCTACTCACTCAAACTTGAACAGTTCAAATGTGACTTGGCTTTATATTGACATTAAACTTAGAATGATTCCCCATATCAGTTCTGTGGTTAGGAGGGCATGCTTCTGTCATCTGCGTGCTCCGGGTCAGCTGCTTCCTCAACTCAATAGGAGAACAGCCAATGCTGTAGCAGTAACTCTAATCCAGTCAAGATTACATTACTGTAATAGTTGTGGGGTTTACCTTATAACCAAATTCAGGACTCCAGAAGGTACAGAATACTGCAGCACGCATTGCATCACGGATAAAAAAATCTGACAACATCACCACAGTTCTTATTTATCTAAGTCGGCTTCCTGTAAGTGAGCGAATTGACTACAAAATGCTGTCCCTGGCGTACAGCTGTATAGAAGGCTCTGCACCAGAATATCTTAAAGAACTGATTTATAAATACGTATCCTTATAGAACCTGCGGTCTTCAACACAGTCCTTACTGACTAAGAGTTCCTAGTGTGGATGGACACATAAAAAAAGTCATATGGAGTGCGCTCTTTTGAAGCGATAGCGCCAAAATTATGGAACAGTTTGCCCCAATCTTTGAGGGAAATTGAAAGTGATAAAAAATCATTTAAGAAACATTTAAAGACTTTTTTTATTTAAATAGATTTAAGAACATCAGAGTGCTGTGAGCATGCTAAAGTAGCATGGATACAAGGGCTATTTAAATATTTAATTCAATTCAATTAAAAGTTCTTTGCCCAATGTCTAAAGCTTGTTGACTTAAAAATAAAAAACCAACATATACAACAGAAAATAATTACAAAGTATATTGTATGTTACCTTAAAAGTTTATTTATCATTAATTTTGAAATATATTGTTAAAAAATGGCAGCTAATATAATTCGTGGACACTAAATTCCATGGTAAAGATTTCATCAATCTTTTTAATAGAAATTGCAGAAATAATGGTTTTAAATGCTTTAGGAAATATCTTACATCTTGTTAGATGGTCACCAAAATACATCATTGTGATCAGAAGTGTTGTGATTCTAAAGCAGTTCAATGTACCTGACAGCACCAGCAATATGTGCAGCCTGCCACCTCCACATTTCAGAGACATGATTAAGATGGTCTCTATTCTCCACATTTCTGCATTTAAAATACGCACTGTCAATATGTTTTTATAAAAAATTAAATACAGCTAACCAAAACAAAACAGCATAAATATTTCTTGACTTTAGAGAAAAGAATAAACTGTTTAATAGACAGCTGTTTCAATAAATCTCTTTACATTTATGGCTGGTAATCAAACAGTTCATAATTTTTTTTACCAAGCCAAGAAATATTTTATACAACTTTTTATTTTCAATAGAGAAAAGTATAAACTATTAAATCACCAGCCCTAGTCTAAATGTACAGAGATTTTCTTTAAACGCCGACAGGTAAATCAAGGAATATTTGTTTTCCAATGGTAGTACTTCAATCCGTCATAAAACTCTGTAGTTATTGAAGGAGATTCCGTATGAAAAGGAAGAGTTACAAAAAAACCCTAGCACAAGTGATTGCTCATCAAATGACATTCATTCCAGTCAAGAGCTATGGTGTAACTGACAGGGAGCAAAGGGAGATGAATCCAGTGGTTTTATTTTATGGAGAACCCGGCTACTGTGTGGTATAAATGGGCCACTTTTACCCTTTTTTTTTTTTTTTTTTTACATCTCCCTCTCAAACTTAACAACTTACATCTACACAGCTTTTATAAAAACAGCATTTAAAAAAACAAAAAAAAAAACATTGAAAACAAACATTTAAAAAAAAAATTTTTTTGGGTGGTTTGATAAAAGATTTCAATTTATTCTTTGAAAAGTAATAAACACACAACATGCAGTTGTATACAATGTTAAATATTTGAGGGATAAAACCCTCTAGCACCAATGTTTAGTCTGTAACACACATTGACATATTGTTTAATGTACATTACACTTGTAAAATCACCACAAAAATAAAGCCAATGATGAGTGCTTTGAAGGAATACCTTTCTCTACTACAGGCGAGTACAGAAATGAATTCCCTGAGAATCATCTGACAGCTAAAGAAAATGTAACCTGAAACAGTGATTCTCAAAACTATGTGCAGGGACACACCAGTTCTTATAATTTTAATCTTTTTTTTTTTTTAAATCAGAAATTTTGTGCCAGTTTATCACTTTAATAAACCTTTATCAGCTTCCCAGACGTAAATTCACTTATGAGATTATTACCTTCTTACAGAAGCCTTAAAAAAAAATTAATTATTTCAAATATGTACAACTCAGCTAACATCCTTATCTCACTATATGCAGATTCCTTAAATTAAAACTCAAGAAACAATAAAATATAGAAATATTTTTGGTATAAGATATATATAAATAAATCAAAGTCATAGAAGACAGGTGTAAAAAAAATACGGTATTAGATTAATTCACATAAAATGTTATTGAAGAGCTTTAGTGCGATAAATTTGTTTTGATCATGGTAAGCTGAATATGAATACGGGGTATCTCAAATAGATACGGTACTGTAGTCAAGTTGAATTGAGAATGTAATTATTTCATTAACAGATTTTTCACATACTCCTCTAATAATATTACAAATTATCATCTTAACTGCCCTTCCAACAATCTGTTTGACTAGGATTTGGGTGCTACAACAGAGAAATCTTTGATGCTGTGCATACCAAGTTTTAGCACAATTTAAGAATTCTTATCAATGCCCGGTACATATAATCCTTTAGGTAAGAAAGAAATTATGGTGTACTCAAGAGTTCAGTAAGGCGCAAAATAAGTTGCCTTGAAAACAGCGAGAAATGAGATGCTTAAAAATGCAGCAAGTGTGTTTGGTGCCTAATTCATTCTTTCATTTTATGGAAACAGTTGCAATTTAAATTTTGTGTTGCGGTGTTAAAGAGGGTGGCACATTAATATAGTCCAGTCACATAAAATAAAATAATTGGATGGCTAATGTGTCGCTATAAACTTAACTAGTAGCAAAGAGGGTAACATCAGTTGACATCAAAAAAAGCAAAGCTTGGGCTGACCTCAGAGTCCAAAATTAGAAACTATAACAGTAAATGACCTAACTGCTCTTTTAAATAAAAAAAATGTTATCACACAATGGTCCCCTACTTGTAACCATTGATACAAGGATAGCCTTTCAATGAGGGATGTAGGGTTTAAATCCACCATGTGGTGTAACAAAGAATGGAAATCAGTTATAAGCTATGATTTCAAAGTACCCGGAAGAAATCAGAGACGCCCATACTATGATGCACTTTATGTTAATTAGTGTACCTATAGGAGTTTTATAATAAAAAATTTTTTTAAAGAAACAATGCCAAACACAAGACAATATGCGAGAAGTGAGAATAGGTCCAGCCCACGGGGTACAGGCGGAATAGATATGATAACATCAATGAAGTTAGCAGAAAGTTTCAGTGAAACTCTATTGCCATTAGCTATTCATGCCATTTTTAGGTTAATTTTCGCTGTGCTGATCCTATGCGGTTTAGGTCACCTTGGGAGAGGAAATTCATCAGTTAGAAAGGGGTCTATGCTATAGGTTGCATCAGGTTTATTGCCATGGAAAAATCTCCGTTATCAGTTTCATTAAACATTCACTCAACACTTCATTTAATTTTAAAAAAAAATTTTTTTTTAAATTATGATTTTTATCATTAAAGAGATAAAGTACAAATTCCCAAATCAGCCTGACCCAAGAACAAGAGTCCAATGAAGCACTATGATTAGATTAACGTTAGAGAGTTAAAAGTGGCTAATTTGTAAATGCCTCTAAATAATAAAAGAGGATACAACTTATGTCACATATAAAATGCATTTGATCTTAATAAAAAAAAATTTTAAATAAAAAATTTTTTTTTAAATGTTCGACATGTTTTATAGACCTATGAGAGCAAGATGAATTTTCTAATAGCAAAAAGTTATTTTTTCTCACCTGAAAAGGTTTGATTAACCATAGAAGGAAATACATTGAGAGATATGAAATTTGAAATCAATATCTATTTAAACAGTATTTTAGTGTAAAGATTGAATATGAATAAGCGAGTAGCCTTAAATGTAACATTAAATGGAACAATATATTTTCTTTCAAATCATTCAGCCTTAAAAGAATGCTCTCAAAGAATAAAATCATAGCAAGAATTAGAATACACACTCATACACACCTTATAAGAGACATCAATGACTAGAATAAACTAAAAGCTGCATAAAAAGAGTGGTGGTCGTTTGCACAGCTAACATAAGTAGCATTGTTTTTGTAGTAAAAACAACAAACGAAGGTGTTTTTGTTTTTTAAAAGTAAATTCACATTTTAAGTTTGATACGTTTTTATATTCAATGTGTAACAGCAATTACAGGGAATACGGTTCAATAGAGATTGGTTGTGATTACAAAAATACTGATATGTCAAACAAGGATTATTTTTAAGGGCTCTTTTCAACTTTGATGTGATCTACTAAATTCATACACAACAACTAATTCCTTGTATCCATCTTACATTATATTATCCAGCCTACCAATGAAACAAGTTCAATTGAATCAAATGTGCAGCACGGCCTGGGGCAGCAACACATCACAGAACTGGGAGGGTATGAGGACAAACTGTCACAAAATGGTAAGGGGAGTAGAAATGGTGATAAATTATGTGATGGTATAAGAACAACCACATACATGCAATCTGTCAGACCTGGGACACTAAAGAGCAATATAAAACTATATCATGATATTACAATCTATTCAGCATTTCATCTAAATCTTTCGTTTGGAAAATGTAGCAAAAATTGTAAACTGCCATAAAAAAATAAATATATCTTTGAATCAAATTTGATTACGTCACCTGTAAATTTAAATAAAATTTTACTTTGATAATTCTGGAACAAGAAAGAACTCAAATGAGTGCTTATTAAGAAGTAAAGATATATAAAAATGGTTTTGATGTTTAAAAAAATATTTTGTTTAAAACATTTTCAATCAATACAGTCACCCTTTAAAATATTGCACTGCAGTGCCTTTAAGGGTCAACAAAAGAAATCATGATGTATCTAGTGCCTTTTGTGGTCCTCAGCCCCTCGTGGTAGTGAGTCAAACGTCCAGGGTGCATGAACATCCAGCCTTTTCTTGGCGAGGTTATGCTGCAGTTGTATCTAACAAAACGACAGCCTCCTCCCTGAAGACAATTTAGGGCGTTAGGAACATAAAATAGAGCAATATGGTAATTCACTTAGATAAACAGTGGAACAAGATTACGTTTAGGCTGGAAGAAAAAAAAGACAGGACAATTAAAAGGAAGTTTCGGCAAGATGCCTTCTTCAGCAGACAAGACAAAACAAGAAACAACAAATAATAATTTGTAAGGTTATTATCCAAAGAATATTTGTGAACACTATTAAATAATTTCTGATTCTGAAATCAAGACATATATAATATATCATCCTTTGCAACATATATTTTATAAATAATTATTTTTATTATCTCCGCGGGTACTTGTGAATTTTCAAGCATTGTTTTGTAATGAATGAGTCTGTTTGCAGTACAAACTGACTATATCCAGTTAACTCATTCCCTTAACTCATTCCCAACTGTTGCGACTTAATGTGTCATATATCTAGCATGTGTTCATATGAGGTGCCAAAAATCAATTTTTTGGGTTATTGTTTGTTATTTTTTCATTGTTAATGTTATTTTTTTCATCAAACCTTATTCATTTCTGGATGCCTTTATCCTTAATTCATTAATATTAGTTAATATTTAGTAGCTTAAAAAAATAATTTACAAATGTAAATCAATTGCAAAACTGAGTTACATCCCTTCCTCAGGAACAAATTAAGTACGGAAGCAGCAATGTCATCGGGAATGAGTTAAGATCAATTGACAAGTTAAAAGATGATTTCTCTCTGGTCTGTTAAATGAATGAAATGCTACACTATGATGTCATCTCGGATTATATTATTTTCAAAAAAAAAAAATAAATAAATAAAAGTTTATTTCCGGAAAATCTGTGAATAATCAATGATCCTTGTATTTCCTATAAGATTAAATTATTAAATTGTGAGTGCTACACCCAGTACCAGATGTCTTCAGTTATCCTGACATTAACACCAGGCCTTGGCCACAGATAAAACCAACACACATGAACATGTACACAAGACACACTGATCCCAAGGATTAAATAAAATAAAAAACTAACCTCAAAATCAACTCCCGGCCTGTTGAGAGCAATGTTGATTGTGTAGGTGGAGGCATCATGATGGGGTCTCAACAGCGGCTGCTCATCTGGTCTGTACCTAACAATGAAGTTCATGATGGCATGAGGGGGCTGTGAATAAAAACAAATGAGATGGTCATTGCTTCAAAGTAAATCTAGTGTGAAACTAAAGCCTTGGGCGCCTGGGAGTCCAAGAGTTTTTAAGGGGCCTTTGCTTGAGCGAAGTAGAAACAAAAGAGGCTATGCATAAATTATTGTTTTAGATACTTTTTTTTTAATGGTAGAGAATAGCAAAATACATTGTAGAGCTCTCACTCTTGAACGATGACTAACAAAAGATTCATGTCCTCGGGATTGGAGCCACCTACGTAACCGTTAGTGCAGAACAGAGACAGAGGGCCATCCCACAGAATAATTCTATGGCCACATGTTTGACCTTACTCGGGGGACCCCACGCAAACTGGGTCCCTTATGTTCAAATGGGTCGGGTAAGACCCCCCCGGACCGGGCATGATGAGATAAAGCTACATCTTAGATTTATTTTTTAAAATACACTGATGCAGTTTACAATTTTTATAAATAAATATATGATTGCCAAAAAAATGCTAAAAGGTACTTTAAAAATAACTTTTTATAGATAGTGGAAAACTTTTGGAATGAATTATTTTATTTGAAATTTCATTGATATATATTTTAAAACAAGCTACCCTCAAGATCCAAGTCATTGAGCCATTCAAATATAAAAATTCAAGGAATATCATTTGAAGAAAAAAATTTAATAAAGTTACACTTTTTTTTTTTTTTTTTTTTACTGTAAAGACCTTTAAAAAATGTTTTTTTTTTCTGACAACTTACGTTATGGAAGTATCCAGTAAATACTTTCTCCTGGGGGGGAGGGATATACTCCCAGCTACCCTCAAGATCCAAGTCATTGAGCCATTCAAATATAAAAATTCAAGGAATATCATTTGAAGAAAAAAATTTAATAAAGTTACACTTTTTTTTTTTTTTTTTACTGTACAGACCTTTATAAAATGTATTTATTTACTGACAACTTACGTCATGGAAGTATCCAGTAAATACTTTCTCCTGGAGGGGACGGATATACTCCCGCAGGAAGTGAAGCCAGTGCCTCTCAAACCCATTCTGGTTCATGTGAATGTCAACAGTGGGGACATTTTCATAGCCACCTGCAAGCCTGGGATCCTGCGTGAAAAAAAATTATTATCTTTACTTGTAAAAATGTTGACAATTTAAATATGAACAATACCATTAAGAATGTTAGTTTTTTTTTTTATTGCAAAAAATGATAGATAAATTATATATTTTATTATTCAATGCCTTCCAGGCAATACAGAAGAGCATTTGTAAGGTGTTTGGGATTTATAAACATATTTGTATGTAAATTCATATTTACTTCATTTTTCCCACTGGACCATTTGCCAAAGTTTTCAAATTCTGCCACGAACTCATCACAAAAAGTTTCAGTAACAATGGGGAACCAGTAAACATCAGGGCATGGCTGTAACATTAGAAAATGTTTTGATAACATTTCAGTCATGAGTGATGTACACAAAAATTAATTGAACAAATCAGTGTTTTCCTTTTTTGTTTAGTATTTTGAAATAGCATCTCAAACATTTAGTTGCATTATATTTTTGTTATGAATTGTTTTATTTATACAATAATATTCTATGGAACAATACTCTGGAAAAGATCAAGTTTGCCCATAATGAGCAGAAATGTAAAAACTATCCTACATTGGATCATGGATTTAAAAATATGGCTTTTTAGAGAAACAATGAAAAATACATTTAGTTTCCAAAATACAAGTATTACAATATTATCATAAGGCACAAATAAATATATGATCACGGTAGTAGTGTAGATGAAAGCAAGGATTCCAGAACTTTTTGAAAATTTACTTAATAGAATTTTTTTAAAATTAGGAAATAAAAAAGGGCAAGCCAAATAATATTACATGCTTACCATTTCAATGACAGCATTTTCCTCCAGTGCCTTTGAATAATTTTTGTGAATATATCTGTTCTCCCAGTCCTGCAGGTAAATAAAGATTAAAAGAAACTGGAACATGAATTCTCAACCGAATGTATTCTAACATCTATCTTAGGGGCATTGGTCAAGGAAGACATGCAACTTTTTTTAAAACTTGTAAATAATAAAATAATATTTAAAAAGACTAAGATAACAGTGCTAATCAGGCACTACAAGACTTGTAGGTAATCTTACCAATCTGTTGCTGAATATCTCAAAGAGTTCATTGTGTAAATGGCTGGTATCAAACTCATCAGGGTAAATTAGATGTCCCCAGTTGTTTCGATTGGTTAAGTAGATGAATATGGTCTGCAAAACCCAAGGAAAATTAAACAAGTACTAAAATTTGCTTGCATAAAAATTGAATTTAAAAAAAAAAAAAAAATTAGCTCTTATACAAATTAATTTTAAGTTCTATTTTATCAACCTTCTCAGAAAAACTTAAAATGATCTGTTAAACTTAAGCTTTGAAATTTCATATTATGCTCTTCTCCTTCTTCTATATTTTAATATTCCTATTTCATACAAAATTCTATCACACTAAAACTACCACCGTATGCAATATGAGGCAGCTTTTTTTATTTGTTTCTTAATCCTATAAAATTTGGATACGGATTCAGCCCAGAACTTACCTCACTTCTGGCTTTCTGGCAGAATGCCATGTCTGGGTCAAAGTCTTTGCTGTAGGTGTAACCATCTTTCAGTGCAGGCAGACGGTGCCCATGGATCAACACAAGATTGGTTACATGGGGAACATTCCATAGACCTCTTTAAAAAAGATTAAGGAAATTTAACTTTATGATTACAAATTAAACAACCCCTAAATGCATAGGTTTTTGTATAAATCCTCTAAAAAATGTTATATCGAGCAATGGGGGTAGGGATAAAAATTTGACCAACAGGCATACAAGTATATCACTCCATAAGCATTCCAATTAGTGCCCCCCCCCCCCCCCCCTTTGCAAAAGCACATTTTTCCACGCCCCTGAACTATATCAAAACAAAAGGAAATATAACGCACCAAACACAAATGCGATTTTTTTTAAATGAATCTTATTTAAGGCAGTTATCAGGAATTTTCCTTCATGTTTCCCTTAAAAAACATGAGAAATTGATTTTTGGAGGTTGGGGTTGGAGCTAAAAATCTGAAATAATGTATTGTCATTGGCAACAAGTCTTTGTGACAAGTTTCAGCTCGATAGGTTGACAGGAAGTGGGTCAATAAGCCATCTGAAGATTTTGCCAGCCACCCATGAAAAAAAGCAAATTTAGTATAAAGGATTTAAAACTGATTAACTATATTCATCTTACTAAGGCTACTTTTCCAAAATGCACACTTACAATAGAAATAGATCATAAACAAATATAAAACATCAATAACAAACATGGATTTTTCTATTAGAAAAGTATAAATATTTTATTGGTTAAAAAAAAACAATGCTATCATATATTTTTGGGGGGTCAATTTTTTTAACTTTATTCCTAGGAATAATTTATGGACTACGAGGTTGGGTTAAATTCAGAAGTAGAGCATTAAAATTTTACTCTCTCTGTAAAGGTCAATATCAACATACATAATGTAAAAACACATTTTTTTCATACCATAAGATATTTGTTCAATGCACTATCAGAAAATGTAAACTTGTAAGGGTCTCTGAATTCATTTAGAATGGGATTTTTTTCATTTCTGACAACCTTATGAAAATGCTAAAAATGGCTTGAAACTACAGAAAAATGCACCCGACAGTTATGGGTTAAAAAAAAAAGTAAATAAGATATTATTAGGCGTCCCCCTACAACTTACACTCTACTATAGTTGATGATGTCCATGTAATCCTCCGATCTGGCATAGAAGTTGTCTTTGTTTAGTGCACCCCAGAAATTGGACCATAATTTTCCTGGTCTCTTTAAGAGGGGAGCTATTATCGACCTGAATAATAGCAAAATAATATATATTTTTTAAATAGAAAAAAACTTGACCAGATTAAAGAATTCAATATTTTCTAACATGGAAAGATCTTTAATAAATAAATTTTCATCAATTTATATAACATCTGGGCATCACAATAAAACTGCACAAATGTAAAAATAATTTTTTTAAATTTTAGTTGTACCTATCAGGTCAGGCCTCACAGTTCACTAAAGTACCATGGCACTGACTATATATATAATATGTTCTTTCAAAAAATTTTGTAACAAATAACAAATTTTGCCTTGAAAAATTGTAATGTATATTGGGCACTAGAGGCATATGCTTAAAATTGGGATGTGAGGTTAAGGTTTAAGGCCCCAACCTGTTTTGCTCCATGAGGTCCAACAGCATATCTGGATTGGTAATCTGAACAATGGAGTCAACACTCAACAGGTACTGGCAGATCTTCTTGGTGCATTCATCCCTGATAAGCAAAAACAGTAACATTCAATAAAAAAACCCATCACAAATGTAGCAACTAAAAGATACTCTACATAGGTTAACAATGGCAGAACTAGATCAGAAATGGAAGGAGCAGTATAATGATACAGAAACTGCAGCCTTTTGACATTCTGAAATGTTCATTTTTGCCAGATATACTTTTTGCAAAATTTGTGAATGGGAAAGGCTCAGTACCTCACAATTCTGAACTTGCACAAATAAACAACAAAATATCAATTTCTTCAGCTGCTTTGAAAGCTTTTTCGTCTATTCAAAAATGTTTTTTGCAATTAAGACTTAACAAAAAGCTATGACATAAGGGACACCACATTTTTTTCTTTTACAATTTGTGTTGAATGGCAATAAAATGTATTTAGTCAAAAATCACTTCAGCCTTCCTTTCCTTGGAAAAAAGGGATAAAATGTATAAATGTGATAAAAAAATCTAAACTACTTACATAGCCCAGTTTCTGGCCACTGCCTCCCCAACATTATCAGTAGGGGAAATAACTCGAACACTTCTGTACTTTCCTTTAGTGTTCTCTAAAAAGGTAGCTACATCCTTATCATGATACGCCACCTAAATCAGAGATAAGTTTTATTTCCCATTGTTTCATTCAAAACAGAGAACAAATTATTTTATTGTATTCTAAAAACATTAAAAGACAATTATGAATATTAATTTGAAATAGGGAACAACCGGAAATCGTCTAGTATATTCGCCCTCGCCGAATCTGTTTTTTTCTTCTTCAAATAGTTGCCTTCGTCTAAACTGCTATTACTTCTGAGGTGGATCGGAATATTTAGTTAAAAATTAAAGTTTTAGAGATATTCAATAAATTTGCATATTAAAATGGGTGGATTTAAGTTCATTTCCCACCAAAACCCAGAAAGAAACAAAAAACATCAGCTACTTAAAACTTTATATATCCACACTATAAAACATTAGCTGAGCAAGCATTCTGATATGTTTACATCCTTCCCAAATGGATAAATAACAACTTTTTAATTTTTGTCAAATTTGAGGGGTTTTTGGGTTATTTTTTTTGCACAGATCAATAATAATTTTAATCTAAAAATTGAATCAGATGATGACATTGATAGCAATTTATATATATTATAGATACTTAATCAGTTAATTATGCTAGCTGAAGTATTAGTAATACAAATTTCTGTATTTAAATTAACAAAGTAAAGTCAATATCATCCAAAATTTCAAAGTTATTTAGTTCATCTTATACGTAAACCATTATTTTTCACAGTAACTTCATGTGGATGGAAGTTTGTTTGTGGTTTTTTTCACTCTATGCTCTACATGGATATAAATGTTAAAAGTAGGGGTTCTCATTATACGTGCGTTTAAGAAATTCTCCATTATCGTTAAATGATAACTTTTATTATCATAAGCCTACTAGTGCCAAAGCAACCATTCCGCACTCGAGCAAGCATAGTATCTGTGCTTAACACCAGTAATGTTAGTAGCACCCCTTTGAAGGGATATTAGCAAAGTTGTATCATTATGGCCGCAGATCATTTTAAATATAATAATGTAATGGATTTTGACATTTTTATTTTAAAATAAATATTTATTTAATTAAAGTTAATAAAATAAGTTAATTTGTATTAAATTATTATTAGATCAACATATTGCATTATACATAGAATTATACATGGAATTATGCGTGGAACAAGTTATACACGGTAATATACGGTAAGTTTCATTATGAATAATGGACTAATAGTACTCGGATTCCTACTTGCATTTGGCAAATAGTAGTCTTAAAAAACCCGGCTTTGGTTAACGGTGAAAATGTCTAACCGGTTGTTCCCTGATTTAAAATCTTTCTGGAAATGATATATTTCACTTGGCCACAAATACTTTTTACATTTTATTTTATAAAACAAGTATTTACTTTGTACACTTCACTGTATTTATTGGAGAACTGAAACAAAAAAACTTACTGCATTATGGATATAAACATCCATTTTATCCTTGGGATAGCTCAGAGATGCAACACGCTCAAAGAACTCTCTAATGAATGGTGTGGCAAACTCAACAAACATGGCAACCATCACAACTGGGTAATCAGATTCCTAAAGGGCAATAAAAAGTGACCTTTGGTGCAACAAATAAAACTTTAATAATCTATATATTTTACGACAAAGGCTGTGACCATCAAGAGAATCAAAAATAGTTTTTGAAATGTTGGCTCTGATCACTCTTCAGCAGCTGATACCTGTGCAATACAGGGGTTATTTTCATTGAAACAATTTTAACTCAAAATACTGGCTTGTTTATTTTTTCATCAGTCTTTCCCGAAATCAATACATGAGCCTGAGAAATAATTACTTCTAACTCTGCACAGACAGTTAATATAAACAGCTATTCATTTATTTCAAAAGACCTTTCACAAACCTTTAAGGCTCTAATGTCCAAAAGATCTTCTTTGCATGACAAACAGCCTGAACTGACAGTCCACCCATCTGCCAGGTAATTGGCAAGGCGGTAAAACTCGGGCTGTACATTCGAAGATATAAATTAACATTTAAACACAAAAATTTTTTTTAAAAGAGAAATGAAGGTTGTATATTTGAATTTGAAACATACAGAAATATTCACTCCCAATTAGTTCTGGTTTTATTAAATTAATAGGTCAGACATCTACTTCAGTTACTTTTACATGAAATAAAAAGCTAATCTCAATTTGAGAATTCTACCAGACTACCCCACATTACCTTACCTTGATTGGACCATTGCCATGCACAACAACTGGGGATGCGCCGGTTTTGACATTGTACAGGTAACTGTGTGATCCTTTATATTTTAGTGTTATTTCTCCTGTGTTAAAAAAGTACATTAAAAAATAGACAAACTAAATTTTTTTACTTATAATTGCACATTATTATTCTTCAATTTGACAATTTTTTAAATTCTAAAAGCATTCCCCGACTCCCATAGCTTTAAAAAAGTGTAGGGAAGTTATATTTTATTTAGGAGACGGAGCTTCAAGAGCATTGATTAAAATTACTGGTTAATATTATGATGGTGGTCTTGAAATTTAATCTGAGGAACGAAAATTCATTAGCTTTGTTGTAAATTTAAAATTAGGGTGTGGGTGAACAGTAAAAAAAAAGGCATGGGTGTGGGGGGGACTGTGCACATTTTTAATTGATAAAAATATAATTTGTGATTTGGTTTCCTCAATTAACTTATCATAAACTGCTCCATGTGTTGATTTAAAAATAACACTGGCATTTCTATCCTAATAATTCATACTGATGATAAATTGTTTTTGTTAATTATTTATTCTTTAAATTATGACATTTCACCAATGAAAAATCTTTTTTTAAATTTAATTGATGAATGTTACAAAATAACTCAAATTAATAAACGAGAGACATACCTAAGGCAAAATTCAGGTTTTGGAAAATTTCTGCTTTTGTGTCAAGTTTTATATTCCATTCATGCTGAAAAGGATTTTTTTGAAATAACAAAAACATTTAAATTGATCAATTTCACCTTCCTTCTTGGGTATTTTTAGCATAATATAATTTTTTACTCTTCAACAAAATGATTTTTAGTTGTTTTAAGTATTTAAGAATAAATTTAATTTGAATATGACTGAATATTGAAACAATTCCTTCTTACTTTGAAGGCTCAATTTAATAATTATCAACCTTAAAAGTGATGATCATTCCATGAATGCCTCCAGATATCAATTCTATCAAACCTACCCTGAGAGCCCTGTTTAGGAAAATCTTGGTGTAGTACAGTTGGTCATCATCAGTGTTATCTATAGGCTGGTAGTTGATGAGCTCAAACACTTCTTTGGCATAGCCAATAAAACCTTAAGGAAAGAAGCAATTCAAGCAGTGGAATGTGTCATTTTATTTTGCAATCAATTACATGTATTAAATAATTGAAACCAGTTTAGATAAATAAAACTCTCTGGGCAATGCTGTGATAAATATAAACATATCATTTACCATATATTAACACCTATAATGTGATTCCTAACTTTTTTTTTTAAAAAAAACCTAAAATACCAAGTCCATATATAATGAATCTTTAATCTTCTCCATAATAATACCATATGAATTAATAAAATAAATATTTATTTTTTAATAAAAATTTCAAAATATTTGAAATTATTATATTTCAAATAAACTATGGACAGGCCTAAGCATTAACGCTAATGTCCCGTCGAAAGGGCGCTACTACATTACTTGTGTTATGCACAGAAAGTGAGTTGGTCAAGATGATTTGGTTGCACAGGTATTAGTACATATTGCTAACAGCCAATGAAAAATTTCTTAAACACTCAAATAATTTCAAACCCTATTTTTAAATAGCATTTTTACCCCAAAATTTCTTGCATTATATGCTGTTATATATGGTAGATTGGTATTTTCTACCTCTAGGCAACACTCAGATAAATATAACCGTACTCCTAAAATTTAGTAATTGCAATATGTATGTAAGACATCTTATATAAAGATATTTACCTCCTGAGTTTAAAAACCTCTTTTCTGAGTCCTTTACAACAGGATATTTATCCTAAATAAAATTGATGTAGTGAATAATTTAATGCATGTTGGAAATTTTCATATCAATATGCTATTTTCATAGAAATGTTCAAATTTAGTTGGGTGTTGAAATACATTTGTTTTAAAAAAATTAATCTTTAAAAGCAAATTTAAAATTAAATTATTTGATTTAATAAAAGGGACACCTGCACTACAATAAAACTTGCAACCTACCGCCAAAGATCTATCAGGCCAACAAGTGTCCTCAGCTGAGAAGACAACTCTAGCATCAAATTTTAAAAACTTTTCAATGATGGCATCTTTGTTGTCAGTGAAAACTAGATCATAGCTGTAAAATAAGAGAGGATATGTAAATGATTTTTAAATGGTTTAATTTTTAATTAAATGCAATGCTGTCATTTGTTAAAATTGTAAATTTTAAAGCAAATCTGATCCACATCTTTTGAATAACTAAAAAAAGAAATTTAATATTAAAAGTAAAAGAGTTCTTATGTTTTGTGACATTGAAACCACTGTGAACTCCAGTGAATGTAATTTCAAATATTTACAACAATGTTCTATTTTATAACAAGAAAATCTTTTAGCCCTTTCCTAATCTAGAAAAACCTTTTAGTGGTATAATTTTTTATTTACTCTCTTGATGTATTTGTATAATTACCATTAAAGCTATTCATTTCAGCAATTAATAGGTATATAAATGGTAAATTACTAGAGAGATAGTTGGATTCAAAGTGATGTCAAGGTTTCTCTAATACAAGAGTTGGAAATCTATATTCAAATGTTTATGATAATTACCTATCAACAAACATAAGAAGTAGATTGGCATTATTCTTAAATGGCTTCAAATTTTCTTTGAGGATGTTGATTTTGTGACCACCTCCGATTGAGTCCATTGATCCACCTTCCCAAACTGATCCCAGACCAAATACCTGGATTATCACCAAAACAACAAAAGAAGGAACAAAATTTTTAAAAATTTTAATTGAAAGCTTTTAAAAAAAAAAAAAAATTTAAAAAAAAAGATGGAAATTTCACAAATTAATTTCTTTTACAGTCTTAAAATAATTCATAAGTTGAATTTCATTTCTTTTAGCGATCTTAAAACTAACTACTTGGCATCTCATTCATCTATTATTAAGCAATGTCAAAGTTAATTTTTTGGGGTTTAATTTAACATTTTATTTTTTTTATTAATCTATTATTTATAAATTAAGTTGTCCAGAAAACAAATACTCTCACCTTCACATTAAGTCCATAGACTTTGGTAGACCGTAAGAACAGACGGAAGCCATCATTCTCTTCTGTTGCTACAGTTATTATTAGCAGATCTGAAAAAAAGATAATAATAAAAAAATTAATAATTAAACAACAATATTTAAAGTAATATAAATACTATTATGTGTGCTGTTTAAAAAACAAGTAAGGTAAGAGAGCTTATAAAAATGTCATTCTATTAGAAACTATTGGTATAGATTGATTCAAAGACCATCTTTCATTTTATAACCACGCTTAGAGCTAACCTGTCTTTTCTGCAGAAGTATCATTTGCCACACAGCACATAATTGCTGCTGCTAAAGAAATGCAAAAATATTGAAGAAACATGTTTCCTGTTGGTCAAATCTTTTGTAACATTCAGAACCTGCAAAAAATAGCAAATATTTATTTCCAAATTAATTTCATATAGTTATGGGCAATGCATAATTATGATACAAGTTTTGTGTAATAATTCAGTTCAAGACAATTTTCATGAAATGGGCATTACATTATATGGGTCTATTTCTTCAATCAGGATCTGCTTTGACTTTAGACCTGAGGATTGGGTTAACATCTCAACTTTCTTAAGTAAATTATGAGACTTGTAACTGGGTTACTTTGTGATAAGGGGGGACAAGCCCTTTTTACTGAAATATTTTGTGCCCATTGACTACCATCAACCTCGTTTTGTTGGCTAGTCGGAGCCATTATCTGTGGAGTGGCTGTTGCGCATGCTACAGCTTCTTGGAGCCGCAGGAGAGAGCCGCGTACCATGTGGGGAATGAAGATTGAGAGGTCAGAGGTATTGGTAATAACCCTCATTAAACACACCATTCCCCAGTTTTAAGTGATATTGATGCAGAAAAAGATCAAATAAGACAAGAAAAGATGTTTTTCTTGATTTTCCCATTGCACTAGAGCCATAAAAACTATTCTCCTTGTATGCTGATTTATTGTGAATTGTAATACAACATTAAGAAGATTATTCAATGCAAACAGTTTTCTATTCACTTAATTGTGACATTTCTTTTTGGAAAGCTACTCAGACTGTGCCTTAGTTATAAACTACAAAGACATGATAAATTTTTAAGAATGATGCTTCTCATTTGATTCTGATTAAACTTAAATTAAGCACACAGTAGGCACTTCAGTAAAGCCAAAAATTGTATGGGAAATGGGTGTCAGTGCAGGAGAATCCGAGATTTCAATTTTTGTACATCAGTGCTTTTTCATTAATGAAAGGACTATTTTGTCATAAAACTGTGGTATCCTTCCACATGTTCACAATAGGGGACATCTTGACCTACCTTCCAACATATTACTTTCCCTTATTTGATCAACCTTAATATTGGAATTAATAGGTATATATTAAATAATATATATATTTCTTTATGAAATTCAAAGACTAGGTCTTTCATGTTAAAACTTAAAAAGCATTGTATATTGATGTATATGTGTACCAATTCTCATTGATGTAGGTCGTGTCCGACGTTCGTTATGCTCGTCCAAGTGCACTGCATTATCAAAAGGTGTCTCAATGGTTAGGTAATATTCAATTATTACCCCTATTTGTATCAAAATAATTGATAACTAGTGTTTTAGAATGAACTTAGAAGGCATTGAAACAAGAATATTTTAATTTGGGGTTTAAAAATCTGGTAGAGTCCATATTATAAATCAGGCCTGCACAACTCATATTGTAAGGTGGGCCGTAATACTTGATGAAAAACTCGTGCGGGCAAAATGATTATATGAAATGACTTGTGCGGGCCAAAAGGAAGGACGGGGGGAAAGCTATTAAGAAAATAATATGAAAAAACATATTTTGTTACTTCGCAGGCCACAAAGTGAGTGCTGGCAGGCCCGATGTGGCCCGCAGGCCGTATGTTGTGCAGGCCAATTATAAATGATCATAATTTGCTGTGTGCTAAATGTCATGGGCAGCCATTCACAGTAGCTTGCAATACTACCATAGTATTATTCTCATAGTTCCATTCATAAAAGAATTACTATGCTGTGTGCATACACCATTAAATCATTGGTCAGAGAAAGCTTTAAATTATAACTTTTGTGCAAAGTTGAAAGTTCAAAATAAGTATTCCCAAACCAGTATTATTTTTATGGGACACCTTCCCTTACCATGCCTTATATAGACTTTATATATATTGAATGCTAGAGCTTGTAAACGGAACATAATATTAATATTGCTAAAATAAATTTTAAAATGAGTATTTCTATACTTAATTAATCCTCAAGTAAAAGTTGTATAAAATTATCATTTAAACAAGACTTATTGCGCACGACTTATTGCGATCAGTGGAAAAGGGACATAAAAAGTGAAGGTGCAGTCCATAGTGAAAAATAGCTAACGAAATCACATTTTAATTAAAAATTCATTGCTCAAAAAGTACTAGACTAAAGCTATAAAGTTGATTCTGGTTTAATTTTTTTTTAAATTGAAATTTGCTCTATATAGGCCTAATTGTAATTTTTTAATTTTATTTTGGAATTTATTTTTACTGAAATACCTACACATAGACACCTATTTGATGAAAATTTGAAAACATTTTTAAAAATATAAAAATACTACAGCTGTATAGAGCCTGTATGAGAATCACTGTTGTTATGTGTAGAACATTGTTGTCATGTTTGATAGGGAAAATATGTTTAGTTAGAGATTTTATGTGACGCTGTATTGTTTGAGTGAGAGTGTTGTGACGTAATTGTGTAATGGGAAATGACGCGTTAGTTTCAGTTGTGGTTGTTGATAGAGCATACATAGAGATGGCCGTTGTGTGCTGTTGAAGACATAGCTTGTTGTGTGATGTTCAAGGCTTAGCTTTCTATGTGTGAAGATTCAGTTAGATAGATAGTGACTTGTCAGGCTTACAAGGCATATTAAAATTATACATTGAACTCATATCGATATATCCAGTGTTTGTTATCGGTTACACTGGTATGTGTGGTACTAGGATGTCCCATGGTTGAGCGTCTGGATTAGAAGAGTGGATGACCACAGGACATCAATAGTTACATTTCGACACCTATACTATATTAGGTTAAGGTTATATGTCATGTGTGGGTATATATATGTGTGTGTGTGTAAATATATATATATATATATATATATATATATATATATATTATACATACATACAATATACATAAACTAATGCTAAAAATCAACTATAAAAGGCAAAACAACAATACCCTCAATAAATTAAAAAGTGTAGGTTGCAATTTTGACAATGAAAAAACGGTACATGTTTTTTGGGTGTTTCAGGGAAATGCCCAAAGTCCCTACATAGAAATAATAGGATTAGTAAATTTAATTAATACATTTAATGGCAACTGCAACATTACTAAGTGAATGTGAGATGCGGCAAATATAATAAGGCTAATTTGGAGAGATAGCACCCTGAAGTCATTTGCTTGTTGTGTCCCTGGTTCCGATAGGGTCAAAACCCTTGTTCCCATAGGGTCAAAACCCTGGTTCTGATAGGGTCAAAACCTAGGTTAGGGATAAGTTTTGGGTTCACGTTAGGTTTAGGGATAGATTTAGTGTTCAGGTAAGGTTTAGACTAGGGATACATTTAGTGATATAAGTTCGTGGGTCGCGGTGCTATCTCTCCAAATTTACCAATAATAACAATCAGAGTCAGTCTAACTAAACAAATAAAATTAGGCTTTAATAACTTTTGATAAGAAACTAATAGCCTATTCAATAGTCTGAGCCTAATCTAATTCTAAGGACCAAGGAGGTAGGTAAGTTACAAAGTAATATATTCTTTGAATATTATAAATTATGGCATTATTATTATTAAATTATTATTAAAAAAATTATGGCATCTATGATTGGTAAACTTAAACTCAGTCAGACTAAGCCTTCCTTATAAGAGTCACATTCGTTAAGAGTTTCAGAGTAAAGTTAGGCAGGCCACTACCCGCTACCCTCTAACTCTAAAAATCTAAACTAAGAAACACTAAGTAGGGCCTACTAAGTTATAAGTTATAATGAATAACTTACAGCCTACAAGTCTAAAAACTGTTTTTTAAAAATAAAGAAGTGTAACATGTGTTCCTATTGATACTGTTACTGTTAATAAATCGTCTTACTGCATCTAGACTGCAATGTGAATATTATTAAGAAGAAGAATCAATTCACGCGTCCATATCTTCCAGACTAACTCACTGCCACATCACAGAGCTGCACAGAAAATTCTCTATTTTCAGGATTGGAACTTTCCTGTTAAGAAGTCTAAATGTTTTAGTGGAACTAACCCGAGTTATGATTCCAGAACGCACATTCGAAATCCGCGTACTTTTATGTCGATGAGCTAGAAAGACGGACTAATGCAAAATATAACTTTTTGACTAACTTAAAGAAAAAGTTGAGTTTTAATAATAAACACTTACGTTATTGCCTTATATATCTCAAAACATTTTTAAATTAAAATCTTGAAAAGAAGTTTTAATATTTTTTTTCATAATTGCCCGCTAGCTAACGCCGAGGCAACACGGGCATTTGTGATACTAACAAAAGCGAACAGATGTAAGAAAGCGTACGTGACTTAAGTGGTGTAGGCGTGTCTTCCAGCACTTCCTTTAGGATGGGTGAGAGAGGGCAAAATCACTCTTTGGTGCGGCTAAGATATACACACATTGAAATCGCTTAATTTATCTATAGATGTTACGGAACTCCGTGAAAATGATATATCAGTATTATAATTTTAATTATGAGTCCACTGTGCTTTGCAAGTAAATTTATTACTTTCAGCAGCGTGACAACATTTGTTTAATTTATGTTTACAAATGATCTGATAGGCCATATCCACCCACTCACTCAAAATTCACTCTCCACCCACTTGCGCTATGTCTAATTAAGTCAACTACTTTATGTAATTAAAATGACAAAGGACCACATTAATCTTCTATAACTCCTCCTACTCCAGACATTGACACACATAATTACGACACACACATGAGAACGCTGTTTACAGACAGTGAAATTAAATTTCATGTGTCACGGCTTAATTAACACCGCGGGCACAAGCAGGGACGTCATTTGGGTAGGGCGGGGGGAAGGGGGCATTCGCAGGTTTTATTTAAATTTCTATGTAGGCCTAATGTGGTGCCTCCTATTATAAACAACTTAACAAGCCGACCAAGTTTTGGTTTCGCTCCCCCCCCCCAAAAAAAAAAACAACCAACAACCCCGAAATGACGCCCCTGGGCACAAGTAGCCTTTTAAATTTGCATGTGGTTTGTGTGAGGTCTAAAAAGAAATGGGGGGGGGGGGGGCATGACTTAATATAGCTGAGGGAAAAAAAGTGCTTACATTTTAAAAAAAAAAAATAATGATCATGAAAATAAAATAAATTCAACTTTTATATCTTCAAATGCCGCACGTCGAAAACGAGAGGTTTCCTGTGTTATTAAAACTCTTAACTAGCTTTACTACTAAAAAAATATATCTATTAGGAAGAGAGCATNAAAAAAAAAAAAAAAAAGAAAGAAAAAGGGCAATTCATAAATGACGTCACACAAATTGTTTACCCCCTCGTCTCAAATATTCACAAAAGGCTAGACCCCCACTATAACTCACAAACTTCTGCACCCCCCCCCCGCCCCTTATAAAAAGAATCCCGCTGTTCTCTACTCTCCTTTACAAACACTTAAAAATTCACATATGGATATCAAAATACTTCGCATATGTTAGAAACGGTTCAATTAGAACTGGTTCTTAACCATTGGTCAATGCACCTCCTTTAGCTGCCATTTTTAGTTGTGCTGAATTTAAAAAACAAAAAAACGTATGCATTTTAATTGGCAGCAGCAAATGATTTTCTGGTGAATTTTGTTTGCGCATCACTCGTAATGGTTTAATAACTAAATTATTTAATGATTTCCATTTTAACATTTTTATTACATTATAATTATGCGAAAAATAATGGGTGCGGGTGCAGAAATTATTTCAAATTAAAAGGGGACGCAGCGCTGCAAAAATATTAAGAATCCCTGCCCCAGATCGCCCCAAACGCCAACCATTGTTCGTTCCATTCCATCTCTTAACTTGATTTGAGGTCATTTTAGGACCTCGCACGCCTGTAGGCCTACTGATTCTCTCGGTGATAGAAGTTTAAATTATAAAAGAATAATGTTAAAAATGTATGCAATTTAATTTTATTAAGTGAGTTTGAAAAAAATAATAATAATAAAGATTCCGCTTTTAATGTGACGTCACATTGCTTAAAACCACCCCCCCCCCCAATGTCACACATCATTACACAAATCCCCCCCCCCTCCTTTTTTTTTTCCCCACCCTCGATGCGTGACGTCTCTTATTGATTCCCCTAAAATAAATAAATAAAATAAAAACATTAAATAATATTTTTAAGAAATAATCGTCTCATAAAGTTAAAAATCCTTATGACACATCGTTAGCCCCTTCAACATAGACGCGTGACATCATATTTGGATGCGCCCCGCTCCCACACCCCCTTTAATATCATTATGCTTTCTTTTTTTTTTTTTAAAATTATGTTCTTATTAAAATTAAACGCACAAAATAATTCTAGTCTACTGTACTCCTACTGACCCATTTTCTTATTTAAAGTGGTCGTTGGTAAAATTACTCAAGACTCCAGCTCTAAGTAGACGATATTAGCACTGATGAGATATCACTGATGTGTAGGGCTCTAAATACAGGGGTCAAGTCCTGGGGAAAAAAGTGTGGGAACTTACCTAAGACAGCCCCCCCCCCACTCCACCTCCAAAAAAAGATAATTATATATAAAAAAAAATTTGAAGAAAAAATAAGGAAATAGTTTTTTTTTTTAAAGGCCCGAAATAAATCTGTAATTTATTGTCCTAGCAAACACGACGCATCATTTATTACAAAGTGCCGGCTTACCCGCGTATGTAACGGAACACGAGTGGCCAAATAATTAATTAACCTCAGCCAGTTTGTCATTATACTAATCAAATAAGAACCACATTGGCTGATGATCGCCCCAACCCCCCAGGCTAGCTAACGGGAACGGGTGTCCTGGGATGGAAAACAAAATAGGGGGGGGGGGGGTGCCGTCTCACACATTAATGCAGGGTTGTCGTCGCAAAATGCAGGCTATCTCCCGAGATTTGTTAAATGTTGAGTTGTTTAGTGGGTGTGTGTGTGGCGATTCCGACTCCATTACAATTGTTCAACTCCTCTAAGTCGTGCGCGTATTAAGCTCCGCCCTAATGGACAGTCGGTGTTTACCTTTTGCAAATGTCCAGATTCCTTTGCGAGGAAATTGGAATGAACATGTCGCCCTACTCCTATCTCGCTGTGTCCACAATTGGAGTTAACAGGTGGGCCCTGGTGCAGACCCGTTGTTAGCTTATAGCGCTACTGAGACAATCCTTGGTCAGAGTCAAGGGCCCACGTTTGGAGGGAGACATGATCCCTAAGAGGATCGCCGGCCGAATATCCACATCCTCCATAATTACTTGGTGAGAACTTGCAGCACGCGCCTCCCCCCCCCCACAAAAAAAAAAAAAAAACAGTCTCAACCCTTAACACTGTGTTCAGAATGCGTCTCGTATGCCACCAAGAGCCGTCACGTCTCGTATGCCACCAAGAGCCGTCACGTCTCGTATGCCACCAAGAGCCGTCACGTCTCGTATGCCACCAAGAGCCGTCAAGTCTCGTATGCAACCAAAGAGCCGTCACGTCTCGTATGCCACCAAGAGCCGTCACGTCTCGTATGCCACCAAAAGCCGTCACGTCTCGTATGCCACCAAGAGCCGTTTTGTTTTCTTTTGGCAGGGGGCCCCCGCGCCAGTTTTCGGCTCTGTGCGTCCTGCATTCGACCGAAATGGATAGTTAAAAATGTTTCAAACATCACTACTTGGGCCCCTTAAATATCGGAGGCCCCCTCCCCTCCTAGTAGTAGCAAGGCCCATGCGTTAAACCTGGTGTCACCACCCTTAGTTTAAAAAAAAAAAATCCTAAAAATAAAATAGTAGCAATTCCTGCGACAACGGGGGGGGGGGGGGGGGGCTCTCAGATATTTAGATTAACTATCACCTTTAAAGACAATAATTGGCAGGGGTCCTTATAAAGTCACGCGAGGACTCTGCCTGAGAAAAACAAAATTACTTGACAGTCCTTCTAGTAGTATCCAAAGGGTGTTGAAAGGAGAGGATCACCATAATATACACGGAGAACGGGCCTCAAGAGAAAGAGAACCGGAATGAGGTAGAAAAAACAGCCCGGAACAGAGATAAGTGAAATGTGTGAGTCGCCTGTGCACCAATAGGGTTAGGAGCTAACAAGGTAAAAAAAGTTATAAGAGAAATGACGTTGGTTACTTCCTACAGGCTCTCTCTGTGTTTAATTACTCTGGACGTATTACTTTTGATTTTGGGGGGAGGGGGGGGAGAAAAAATGCTGTGGAACACAAGAAAAAAAAATCAGCTGCTTAAATTACATTAGCAAACCTTTACAAAGACTTAAAAAAAAAAAAAAAATTCCATTTTATGTTGAATCTCATCGTTTCCCCTTTAACTGTGAAAACATTTACACAATAGGAGTAGGAGATACTCCCTCCTATGTGTAATGTTATCAAAGGAACATTTGTGGGGTCCATTAAACTTTTTAAAAGGGGTTTTGCAGACCTCTACGAAGTTCTATCCTATTGTGCAAACTTTTACTATCCTATGACCCTATTGGGCAACTTTTTACTATTCTATGGCCATATTGGGCAACTTTTTACTACCCTTTGACCCTATTAGGCAACCTTTTACTATCCTAAGACCCTATTAGGCAAATTTTTACTATCCTATGACCCTATTAGTAGTATTAGGCAACCTTTTACTATCCAATGACTCCATTGGGCAACTTTTTAACTATCCAATGACCCTATTGTGCAAACTTTTACTATCCTATGACCCTGTTGGGAAACATTTCAAAACCAAAGTTCAAATTTCTGCCAGCCATTTTGTCATCAACATTCTTAAATGTGTGTAACTGCACTCATCTCCCCATAGCCACACACACATAGAACATGCCTGGATAGAGGCAGACATCCAAAATCATCAGTAGAGGATTGAAATGTCAACACAATTGAATTATGCTAGTTTTTTTTTTTTTTTTTTTTTTTTTTATTATTTTTTTTTTTAAATGCACTTTTCTTTTAATACAAAAAAGTTATGTCTGCCACTGAAGAGGAAATTAATTTTCTCATTGGAGCACAGTTTAAATACAACTTAATTTAAAAAAGTCA